TTTGGGGCGGACACGCCAAACAAAACTGGGTGGCTTTGCTCTTTGCCTCCACTTCGGCGACCTGCCACCAGACCCCAAGGACCCTCAACAATGGGGGGTACTTGCCTTTTTCTACTCTACCTATTGCCTGACGTTGCGTTCTATGCAGTACAGTATAGTACGGTACAGTACAGTGCTACTGCCTTTGCGCATTGGGATCATACCTGCCGTTTACCGTCTCGTCGCCGTTTCCTCCACAGCAAACATCTCGCAGTCGTTGCTCTTCTCTGCCTATTAAGAGATAGTAACTGAGAGGAGAAACAGAATAACAACTGTATAAGTTTTGTTTAACCAGCAGATCCGGTACCTAACATGAGGTCACTAGGGCGTCTGTGGAACCAAGTGAGCTAAGCTAAGAAAGACTGATCCTACTGGACTGGATCGCCTACAATACCTAGGTACACTAGGTACGGTAACTGGTCGCGGTTGTTCTGGGGCATTGGGATGGCTTGACGCTTTCTACGGGACGGAGGCTTGACCGAATGGATGGATGACTGACTGACAAACTGACGCTTGCCCAAAATTATTCGCCTTCGCGCTCTCTGGCTGCCAGGTGCACCACCTCAAAGGGCAATCCCCCCAGAGGACCCAGAGACGCAGAGAGGCACAACAAGAGGAGCAAGCCAGAAGAGAGCCGAGCCTTCTTCTTCCTCTTCTTTCTCCCGTTATTACCTACCTTACACACAGTATCCAGTTACGGTTCCCTGAACTATTCCATCCCCAGCGCAGCTCACTCCACTCCACTCCAATCCAGTCCCCAACCCGCGGTCCGTCCATCCCACCCCCCCCTCTCACCTTTTTCTCGCCTGTTGTGAGGCTTTACCTACCTACCTACACTATCTTAATAACATCGCCGCCTACCTTACTTCGCCCTCGACCTGACATCCTCGTGTGGTTATTGTAAATCACCATTTTCTTGTCGCCGCACATTGTCGCCAGAACTGCAACGGCCCCATCTCTACTGTTGTCGAGACCAGACGATTAAAATCCTGAAATCTACGCGCACTAGTTCTGATATCAGCGGGCATCGACATTCCGTCGGTTTTTTGGCGTCTGCTCGTCCATCTCCAAGCTCTCGCCACGATCTCCAGCCACACATCACAGCCTCTCCATTTCGTCACTCGAGAATGCGTGCTGGGCCGCGGTGGAATTGAGAACGCAGATTAGACGAGGAACAGCCTGTCTCATTCCATTTACCTTTTTGACAATACCCGAAAGCCTTGCCGCCACAGTTTTGCACGTCTCATGGCATCGGAAACGGGTCCCATCGCGACAGAAGCCCCTCCCACTGCCTCGACTGCTCCAGCTCCAGTTCCAGCACTACCTCCAACAATCACCTCGCCAGAACCTGTCGCAGCCGATCTAACTCGGTCGAAGTCCTTAAAACGGGCCCGTGAATCGACGCCGACGTCGCCAGGCTCGACGGACTTTGGCCACCACGCCAATCCGGAGCTGTCGCCTTCCAAGATCGCTCGCCTGGTCGGCTTGTCAACACGACTGTCGCCCGCGCCGCTGACGGGTGCCGCCGCGCTTGAGGACGACCGCCGACGTCGCGAAGAAGAAAAGCGATTGAATCCGCCAGGCATCAGCGAGAATCCGGGTCAGAGGGTGTTGACGGACCTCATCTCTGGTGACGCCATGGCCATGAGCCGTCCTGAGGACGCACCGTCGGCCGACGCGCAACAAGCTGCTGAGGTTGCAGCGAAGGCTCTCAACCCTGTGACCATTCCCCAACCGAACGTCTCGGACGCCAAAGCCGATATTAGCCCAGAGAGTGCGACGAGTGGCCATAGCATCGGGACCACTGGTGGCCCAGTCGTTGACAGCCCGGCTCCTATGGACGTTGACTCGCGGGGTGACCGCCAAAGTTTTGCTGCGCAGCCAGAGGCGCCGATGGAGGAGAAGACAAGCACATCACTGTCGTACCCTGGGCTACTCGGGGATGCGATGCCTGCTCCTGCTGCTCCATCGCGTGGGATGAGTTTACCGATGGCAAACTCGAACGCGGAGCACGGGTCACCTTCATCTAAGAAACACAAGTGCCCATACTGCGACACCGAGTTCACTCGGCATCATAATCTGAAGAGCCATCTTCTAACGCACAGTCAAGAAAAGCCCTATGTTTGCCAAACTTGCCAGATGCGTTTCCGACGCCTTCACGACCTGAAGCGTCATAGCAAATTACACACAGGCGAGAAGCCTCACATTTGCCCCAAGTGCGACCGCAAGTTCGCCCGTGGCGATGCGCTGGCTCGACATGCGAAGGGTGCCGGTGGTTGTGCTGGCCGACGGGCATCCATGGGCAGTTTTGGTGGTGATGATGACTACGAGGGAGCGAGTATCACAGAGGCAGATGATTCTGCCATGGCCGGTGTCATTTACGAAGGCAATGCCGACGTGGATATGACGGAGGAAGAGCGAAGAAGGCTCAGCCTACCGGCCATAAAGGCACAGCACATTGCTGGGGGCCAAATTGCGCCTGAAGGTTACGCTCCGCATTCCCGTACATATCCTCCGGCCGGACAACGAGCAGGAACTACCGGGGGTCTTTATCCTCCCAATGTTGATCGGGTTGGCAGCTCTAGCGCGACGACCTCGCCGAGCATGCCCAACAGCATTGCCGGTGCGCATACACCTAACACTAGCATATCCTCCCTACCAATGAGTGGTGGAAGCTCATCTATGTATTCTCAAGGCATGACAGAAAGCCCAAAGCCACTGAGCCCCGGCTTACAACATGACCCAAATATCGCGCGGCAACGATCGCCGAGCCTGACACAACAATTTCAACAGCAGCAGTTTGGTCGACGACAAACTGACCGTCAGACTCCGCCATCTCTCTCGTTGCCTTCTCCACACGGTACGTGGCACAGCTTTGCTTCTACACACAAGCGAGAGTTTGCAACTGACATCAAGGCTGAATTAGGCACACAAGGTCTTCACACTACTGCCCCTGGTGTGAACCCTCAGCAACCTCCAGTAACTACAGGCGGCGCTCATTCTCGGACGTCGAGTGGTCCAAGTCATGCTCATAGTGGCGATAGTGGTGCCAATCTCTTCGCGTCAGGCGACCAAGGCGTCTGGGCTTATATCCATTCTCTTGAGGAGAGAGTTAAAATGCTGATGGAGAAGGTCACGACCCTGGAGAAGACGGAGACTTCCAGAGAAGCACAGATAAGCTACTTGACGACCGAGGTTATGACTCTCCGCAAGCAGCAGGTTGAGGGACGGCAGGAGGCACCTGTAGCTAAGAACTAGGTGATTTTTTTTGTTACGTCTGCGTCCGCGCCCTACGGTTTACAGCCCGCATAATTACCCTTATCATCATTCACTAGCGACATTTACACGTTTTCCCGGTTGGAATTTTAAGGGGTTGAGGGACATCGTGATGATCACGATAAGGAATCTGCATTGGCCTTTCGTTCTGTTCCTCATCGGTTTTCTTTCGTTATACCGGTTGGTTGTTATATTACATGGCAGGCTCATCAAAAACTAGGGGGTCAAAGGAGACGGCGTTTTTGGGGGAGATTTCTGGTGGAACTCGGTCGACATCAAAAGTCATTCTGAGCTTCTGAGAAGGTGGCAGGTTTGGGTCTTTCGCTTGTGGCGATTCCGCTGCTATTTTTTCTTCTCGCTGCCATCACTGCCTTGAGCCTACTCGGCGGTTAGAAAGCCATGAGAAGGACTCGGGCTTGTTCCCATGTCCGGAGCTACACTTCAAGTCAGGTCGTTTTATCCCTTGACATCTGTATTATATATCACGCAGACAGACGCCTCATGGCAGCATGATAAAAAGCTTTGGTCAGCTGCTCTTCGGAGTGCAAAGGAATTGTTCCTTTGGAGTTGTGAACTTGACTCGAGGTGCGACTTGTAACAAGCCTCGACATAGGGGGCGTAGATTTGCCGCCGTGTCAGGTAAAACTCATGATGACGCCCTGAAATTCGGGAGGCAACCAATAGATCCGCTTTCTCTCACGCTCCCGTTTTCTTGTCTCCATCGAAACTTGCGTATGCTTTAACTATCCCGTATCTTGCCAGTTCCCCTGCAGGTTTGCGGATATTGAGAGTGGGTGGCTTGCCAGCAATGTGTAGGTAGCGAGTGTGGCTGTGCCTCCGACCCGCCCGCATTTTCTTTGGTTTCAACCAGCAAGACCACTAGCCGGGCCCTTGTGAACGTCATACACCGTTTAGCCAGTGGGCCTTTTCAGATGATGGGGTACTTCAGGCATCTCGGTGGATGTGGTTCCCACACCGCACCAAAAGTAAGACAGCTAGGGCTGCCTACCTCGGCCAGAACAGAAACCCCCGTCAGAAGCCATGAAACAGAGCTGTAAATATTTACACAAACAACCAGACGAGAAATAGACGTGGTAATATTGCACGACTGGGACCCTGATTCTGAAGTGTTGCTGGGAATTCAGAGCGACTTACTCTACCATTCTCGATTTGAGCCTGCATACTGCCTTATTGGCTCGCAGGATCTCATGTAAGCTCACCTGGGCACCTAGAGTAGATATCAAGTTGGGGATTGGCCATATCCACTTCACCTGTCTGCCGAGGCTTACACCTTGTGCATTGTGATTTCTGCAATCTTCTGAACATTGCCTTGCTTTCCATTCCTTTCCAATCCGGCTTTGGCTCAAGGATCTCGCCCCTGCAGCAGGTGCAGCTATTCCGAGGTAGGCTCGATCGAGTTGTCGCGCGCCGGCCATAGCTCCCGCAGCAAGCTAATGACGAAATTCCCTGGCAGGCGCGTCCCGTATCAAAGAAAGGTGCAGCAAGCGACAGCAACTACCACCATCGAAAGCTTTCCCGTGGAGTACTACGCGAAGACTACCAGCAAATTTCCCCCGTGCTATCTTTGTCATCTACCATTCCTGGACTATAGTGCCTACATTCCAATCGAAGCTTCGTCTGATTAGAGTGCCACGCGGTGCTTGGCAGCCGGTCAAGCTGCAACCATGGAGGCAGGTGGCGACGCAGGTGAGATACCCAGCTTCACGCAACGAGAGATCGATCGCAACCAAGCGCCCGGCAACGAAAACGAAAGCACCGTGCATGGCGGCGATTCACACGCGGAGGATACGGAGCGGCTTTCTTCCATGCCGTTGTCCGAATCATCCGCGCCGCCGCGCAGCAAGAACTCAGTGCGCCGGCAGCGTAGGGCATCGCGGAGATCTCGGCATGCGCTCAGGCAGGAAGTGCTGGAGAGTGTTGACACCAATGTTTTAGCTACAGCGAAGGAGGCCATTGGTGCCCCTGATCTCGACCACTCTACATACGCCGAGGCCGTGAAGGAGGGTTCGCTAGACACGACGGCCGACGGCGCCGATGACGGGACGAAGGGAGGTGACCCGGCTCCTCAGACTTTGGACAAAGCGCAAACGAACGGCTCAGCGAAAGTGGCGACGGAGCACAGCAACAAGTCCGGCAAGATCGACTCTGACATGCCTGACACGGGAGCTACTTACGCGGATGTGGTGAAAGATGGTGTAAAAGATTCAGAGAAGACAAATGGCCATACTAAGAAATCACCGGCGGAGGGCGGAGAGCAAAGGAAAACAGATAGCCCCAATGGTACTTCCCGCGAAAAGACTGGGGGCTTTAAGAACGACTATCCTGAGCTTAAGGACGACCTTGCTGTCCACGAAGAAGAGTATGAGCGGATGAGAGATCGCATTGCCGCCGCACAAGTGGCTGGCATCAGGTTTGCGCCCCTGAAAGTCCCTCTCAAGCGCAGGATGCAGACGCTGGCTGTCTTGTTTCACTCTCTGTGTATGGGCACGACGGTGTCGATTTTCTTCTTTCTCTGCGCCTTGCCATTTCTATGGCCGATCATAATCATCTACCTTATTACCATCCTATTCGCGACAGATGCGACGGATGGCCGACTTCGCCGGCGGAATGAATGGTTTCGTCGCTGTGCTATATGGAAGTACTTCGCTGAATACTTCCCGGCCAAGCTGCACAAGACACATGATCTGCCGCCTACGCGGAAATACATCTTTGGCTACCATCCTCATGGCATCATCTCCCATGGAGCATGGGTTGCTTTTGCCTCGGAGGCACTCGGCTTCGCTGAGAAGTTTCCTGGTATCACCAACAGTCTTTTGACTCTCGACTCAAATTTCCGGACGCCTATCTACAGGGAGTATGTTTTCTCGATGGGATGTCTGTCTGTAAGCAAGGAGTCTATCACGAATACCTTGACAAAGGGCGGACCCAACGGTGAGGGCATGGGCCGTGCCGTGACTATTGTCATTGGAGGTGCAAGAGAGTCGCTCGAGGCTCAACCGGGCAGGATGAAGCTGATCCTTAAGGAGCGCAAGGGCTTCATAAAGCTCGCCATTCGAACAGGCGCCGATCTTGTGCCTGTGGTTGCCTTTGGTGAGAACGAGCTGTACGACCAACTGCAGCCGCACCAGCACCCTTATCTGCACAAGATTCAGCGGCACTTCCTAAAGGTGTGGAAGTTCACAGTGCCGTTGCTACATGGTCGCGGCATATTCAACTACGACGTTGGACTGATGCCCTACCGCCGACCGATGAATATTGTGGTCGGCAAGCCTATCATGGTGGCTCAAAACGCGAACCCGGACGTCGACGAGGTTGACCGTTTGCATGACCTGTACACGGAAGAGGTTCAGAAGATCTGGGACCGTTACAAGGACGAGTTTGCCAAGCACCGAAGGGAGGAACTACAGATCCTGGAGTAGTGGCATCATACTGTACACGACCAACACTAAAATTGTAATACTATATGACTTAGGCTACTGGGGATACTGTTATGGATGTGCCGGGTGCATTTTCAGGTATAGTCTTATCATGAAGGCGGGTTTGCACGCGGCTGGCTTCTCACACCGGGTGAGACAGCCCAAGACCGGCGTTTCTAGCATAGTTGATCCTATTTTTGTGAAGAAATGAGAAGCCTCTCCAGCCAGGAGTTCTTTGCGAATTTACTCGTTTTGTCTGTTTTGCTCGAGGCTCCTGAGGCTCCAAGCCCAACCCCATGTTATTTACCAGGAAACTTTCTTTGCGAAATTCCCCAAGATATATCTACACGACCACAATATACATGATAAGGGTACGCAATGCAATCAAAGAGCACGATCAGAGGTTTATCTCTCGGGCCCCATCAGTTTGCTGGGTTTAGTGGAGCTGAAGAGCAGTTGTTGGACGGGCTGTCGGCGAGGCGCATGGGGATCTACAGCGCACATCGCTGATCCGCCAACTCCTACCGATCCTAATGATTCGGTCGGATCGCATCGAACACGAGGCAATGGGCACACAGCCCGGGCAACGGTCTACTCTATGTTGTCTTCCTCACTGTTGCAGCCCGCTCTACACAACACCTATACGTAGCCTGAACTAGCGCCAACCCGGTTGTCATTGGCTGTCGTAGCCGCAAATTCCAGTCGGGCGCAAAACAAGTGACACATTCCGCCTTTTTCCTCACATGATTAACTTTCACACAGGATCTCTGATGTCACAGCAGAGCCGATTGTCCCAATCCGGGGGCACTTGACAGGTGTGTTTTTGGGTGGACCTGCGCCAACGAACAACAAGCACAGGCGCAAGCAACCAAGTGGGAACCCGACGCTCCCGGCGTTTTCTCTCTCTGCTGCCTTATCCACCACCACATGATTGCGCTGGGAGGCCGGTTTGTTGTTAGCCTGGAAAGATGGCATCATTGAAGCTGATTTACATATATTCCCTGTTTGGGCAGTGTCCTCCGACACCTAAAAGCTTAGTCGGACTACTGCAAGTGCTACATGTCGATGCTACGTTTTGTGTTTGGTCCCTTGAAATGATCAAACAATTTCTTTATTTCGACTCTAATTGATTCACGATCTGAATTGCAAAGACCTGTTTGGGTAGCTCTTTGAAGTAACACGAGGCTCTTCACCGTAACCTTTTTGACGATGTGAGCGGTCCCGTTTGACATCAGGCCACCACGATACTGATACAAGCGCAACAGAAAGCACTATTCCTATCTCTAACGTCACTTCACTCGCCTGGAAGGTGTTGATGCAAATGGGCTTCCGATGACCGGCTTACAAAGTCCGGCATCCGACTCCACGACGGATGTCGAGCACGGGGCAGTTTCGGCTCCCAAAGCCTCCGTCGTGGAGCCGCCTCCGTCAAAGCTGCATGCTTGGTGGGCCAAGTGGTATGCGGGCGTTCTGTTCGGAGCAGCTCTCACCATTGTTTTCCTCGCGGTGGTGATTGTGATCGTTGTTGTTTCCGACCCAGTCAATGATACTACGGTATGTGAATGCATCCTTTTCGTTTGGGAGATCTCTCCGTCTCTATGGTGCTTGGGCTTGGTATCGAGCAGGTAGCTGTCACTTTCATTACGACTCTACCTCGCTCGGCCTTATGAGACTCGCCTGGGAAACCCTTATGTTGTTTAGAAACCTTTCACCATTTTTACTAACTCTATTATTTGCTAGAATCCTCATGTCAAGTTAGACTACACGACATATGTTGGCAGGGAGGTCTCAGACAACATCGACCGCTATGCTGGCATACGTTATGCTGCGGCACCCGTGGGTGATCTTAGATGGAGAGCACCACAGGATCCGCCCAAGTCTGACGGCAGGCAGCTGGTAGATGAGGTACATAACCCTTGCTGAGGGAGGACACCTCCGCTGTGCAGAAGTTAATGTGATTCAGTACGAACCTATATGCATGGCCATAGACACACCGTATCCCAGCTCTGGGCACGACGAAGATTGCCTGTTTATGAATATCTGGACGCCATCGAATGCGACTGCCGCATCGAAATTACCCGTGTGGCTGTTCATTCAGGGCGGAGGTGAGCCTGCGTCCGTGCTTGATATAAATCGACTCTAACCCATTCTCACAGGCTATGTCAGCCTTTCAAATCCGAACTGGGACGGAGCGGAGGTAGTCAAGAATTCTGGCTACAACATGGTGTTTGTGGAGTTCAACTACCGTGTTGGCCTTTGGGGATTTCTGGCGAGCGAGAAGGTTCGGGACGATGGCGACTTGAACGTCGGCCTACTTGATCAGCGAGCCGCTATGAAGTGGGTGCAGAAGTACATCTCTCACTTCGGCGGCGACCCGGATCACGTCGTTATTCACGGCGCTTCTGCCGGTGCCGGCTCGGTGGCACTGCACCTTACGGCCTACGGCGGCCGCAATGACAGCCTTTTCGCTGGGGGCATGGCCGAGTCCGTGTTCTTCCCTCAGCAGCCGTATCTTGCAGATCTGGAGTGGCAGTTTGACAGAGTCGCTGAAGTAGTCGGGTGCAGTAATGAGACTGATCAGATGAGCTGCCTTCGCGGCAAAGACACCGCCACACTGCAGGCGGCTAATGCCGCCTCGGGGTTCCCAGGACGGGTAGAGTCTGCATCGCCGCTGTTCTACTGGACGCCGTGCATAGACGGCGATCTCATTGAAGACATACCGTACTCGATGTTCGAAAGGGGTGATTTTATCAAGGTGCCGATCCTATTTGGCAATGACAACGACGGTAAGCCCCTTTCCAGATGTCTCACCTCCCTCCTGAAATAGAAACTGACATCCCTCGTAGAAGGCTCAATATTCGCAGCAAACGCCGCGACAAAATATGCCATGGTCAACTTTTTGCAAAACAATTATCCCCTTCTCCGGTCAAACGACACAGCCGCAATCCTGTCAAACTATCCACAGATGGAGGCCCTCCCCGGCCACAGCGCCTGGTATCCATCCGCCGCCCTAGCCTACGGCGAAGCAACGTTCATCTGCCCGACAGTGAACATCCTCGACGCATACGCCGCGCACTGGGACACGGACGACACGCCTCCGCTTTGGTCGTACCGCTTCAACGCCGCGGACCAGATGTACGTGCAGCAGGGGCTCGGGGTGCCGCACCTGTCGGACGCGGCGGCCGTCTTCGGCCCGGACAACATCGGCGGCAACGCCCCGCCGGGCTACTACACGTACAACGCCGACATCGTGCCGGTCATGCAGGCGTACTGGCTGAGCTTCATCCAGACGCTCGACCCGAACCCGAAGCGCAACGCCACCGCGCCGGTGTGGGAGGCGTGGGGCACGAACCGGAGCCGCATCCTCTTCGAGACGGGCAACACGAGGATGGAGGACACGCCGGCGGCCCAGGTGCAGAGGTGCGAGTTCTGGGAGGGCTTGAAGGATGTGATGCTGCAGAAGAGATGATGGCGGCGTTTTGTGCTGGAGCATTGCATTTGATTTGACAATGGCGCAAGGGATGGATTGGAGTATTGGAGTTTTAAGGTCATCCATTTACATCATGGTGATAGGGGGGGTATCATTGGTATAGATTTCTAGATATGTATATGGATGCTAGACAACAAGGCGCGAAGCCACATTGGTTTATTCGTCGAAATCGAAGACATCTCGAAACAGTGCCACTAGTCCTAGATTGCGTCCGCGAGCATCGCGAATTGAGAAACATGGCACAATTGGAACGCCCTTGCTGACAATTTGTTTCTGTGCCTGGCTTTGTGTGAATGCCCATGTTGGGACGTATACCTGATAAGGAGAGATATTTCCCGAAGACTCCAAGGAGGAAATCTTCACAGAGTTGGAGAGTTCTTGCACCAACACTTCATGAGCCTCCTCTAGCATATCAGACAGTGGACGTATGTCGGTGTAGAGGGACTCGTCGATCAACTCGACTGATAGGGCAGTCTGCACGATAGGACCACCACCAGCCACGTCTAGAGTACATCGTTGTATATTCCACCTGTATGACGATAGCGCGCCTAGTCGGACACTGTTGTAGACGTGAATACTTGACGCGCTCAGGCGGCTATATCCGACATGGGCCTGCCACTCAACGCCGGCCTGGCGAGGAAGCTCTTCGACCTCGGCGGCAAAGAAGAACGGCGTTGCTCGTGTGCCCTCTGCTTGAGTAGATCCTTCAATGACAGACCAGTCTGGCAATTGAGGAGCGGACTCGGCCTGGCCGTCACCACTGCCAAAATACATGTATTCCGGGTTGTACTTTCTATCCCACAGATCTGGGCCGGAGGCCATGTCGTCCTCCTCCTCTTCGGAAATCTGTGAGGTGGGATGAGAAGCTTCCCAGGCCCGTCCTGCCAGCTGAGCTTTCTCTTTGACAGGCAGGTCTGAGTCGCTACCTCGCGGGAAGTAAGCTACGGCACTGCTCCACCACTGCACGCCCATCTCGAGACCTATGCGCCAGAGATGCTGCAAGGAGAGGACAACTTGCATCCTGAAGGCATCAGGACCACGTGGGAGTTCCATCGTGGCTGGTATGAGAGGAATCTGGCCAGCTATATTGACAAGTTGCACGTTAGACGACTCTGGCTGTCGAGCCCCTGACTTCAGTAGACTGCTCGCAGGCACTGTGATGGCCTGGCTATAGGGCCCGATATTTGCGGGAGCCCAGTAAGATCGGGACTGAACATGAAGGCCCTTTCGATCACCAGTCTTCAGGGCTGTGTGGACTAGGGCGTATATGATTATGTTGCATCCCGACGGCAGCAACTCGCCACATGAGATGGTTACTCTTGACGGAGGGTTTGGTTCTGTAAAAGGGGCGCTATAGATCTTATTGACCGTAGGGAAGTCGGACATGTTACGAAGGATGATAACAGTGCTGATGATAGAGGAGGGTGATAAAGAATGGGAGCGTAGACGACTCTGAAGCATGTCCATCAGGGAGGCTGCCTCTACCTCAATCGAAGATAACTCGCTCTTGTCATGAGACACAAAGCTCCATTGAACGAGCGTCTCAGCGTCCCTGTGTACGGACGGCCTACTTCTGCCAGCCAAATCTGAGGACACTCCACTTGGCAGCTCAGAACTCTGAAGTCCTTCAAGGACCATGCTGAATCTCTCGTCGAGCATTTCCGGAATTCTCACATTTTCATTGTCCGTAGTCGCATCTGGAGTAGGTATTGGCTTCTCTAGTACCTGTGCCTTCCGGACTCTCACCCAGGCAGTGCCGCCTCCCTCCCTGACGATGCTCCTGTGGTCGTCCTGGATCACGATCTGCTTGCTGAACAGCCTCCTCGGGCCATTCACGACGAGCGTCTCGAACTCGCCGCCCTCGCCCAGCACGGCGCCCTTCTCGCTCGTGCCGAACCGGCCCATCGCACGCTTCAGGCGCGCCACGGCCGCCGGAGACGAGACGCTCGCCCACAGGAACGACTCGTCCAGCCCGCCGCTCGCGACCTTGACGATGCGCGCGTCCAGGCCAGCGGCGGCCATGTCGACGAGCAGCTGGGCGTCGTCGCCGGAGGGGTTGGGCAGTACGGGAAACTTCCACAGGTAGGCCAGGGGTGTGAGGCCGAGACGGAGGGCGACAGACTCGACCCGCGTGCGCTGGTAGGTGCTCAGGATGGCGCCGGCGCTGACGGCGTTGGCCTCTGGATGCTGGGCCATAACGTGCCGGAGCAGAGGAACCATGGACTCCGTCTCGTCCTGGGCAGTGGCCGCCTCCTCACCGGGAGCATAGTCGCGGGCACTCTGCACTGCGCCGCCCAGGATAGGCTGCCGGTAGAGGGGGATGCCGGTGGCAGCAGCATAAAGGGGGATGACCGCGTGCCCGACGGTCTGGTACATGAAGCTGTTCGAGTCCTCCTCGTCCTCGTCCTCATCGTCATCCACAACCTCGCCATCAGCGTCACCAGCTTGGCGTGGTTGTCGAGCCGGAGCAATCTCAACTACCCCTGTCGACGGCGGCCGTACACCGGTGGCGGCGGCGGTGCCGACATTGCTGCTGCTGGAGCCATCTTCTGCGCTCGGACGTGCTCGTTCCTCGTGCTCCCGTCTTGCCGGATGCAGATTAGCGAGGGCGACGACGCGGTGGCCCTGGGCCTGACAGTGAAGCAGGCTGAAGAAGCTGTCCTTGCCGCCGGAGACGAGGGCGATCACGTTCAGGCCACTGGTGGTGGTGCTGTCGGACGCCATGTCCGTGGGCCTGTCTGTGCCTGGCAGCCAAGGTTGTGCCTGTCAGTCTTGCCTGCCGACGGGGGGGAGATGACGGAGTGAGACAGATCGGCCAGGGGTGCTGATGTCTCTCTCTGTCTCTCTCCCCAAAAGAGAGAGCCAGCGAGCCGTAATAGGCAATGGGCAAAGGCGGCGTGAGGGTGGCACTCCTCCTCGGGCGCCTGGTGGGAGGGGAGGAGTTGGCCCACAAAGACAAGACACGGGTCGTTATCAGTTGTGGAGGAGGCCGTAGAGGTATGGAGTCTAGTAGAATGAGTGAGTCGGGCGGGTGTCAGTGAGAGAGTTTGAGGCTGGCTAGTGGGGTGCGCCCCCATTCATCGCTAAAGATTGTCAACCTCCACTTTGCTTTTTCCCTTCGCTCCTTCCCTCTGGGAGGAAACCACACACAACGTTGTGGACTACGATAGATACAGAACTGGCGGCTTCCCTGTCACCAAGGCGCCTTTAGTTCACCAGTCAATAAGTTAATTGGGTATTTAGTGTAGTTCATTAGTTACTTAGTACAGCACTAGACTAGCACGCAAGTCGATCCCATAACGCTCGGGGACCCTTTTTCTTCTCTTCCTTCCTTCCATCACCTTGGTTTGGAGCCGGTTTCTATTGCAGTGTCTCAGACTCTACAGTCTTCAGTCTTCCAACAGCAGAAAAGCGCAACTGCCGACGAAGCTATGGATTTCTGTGACAGATTGATGATTTGGATGGACAGCTAGCCCGAGATAGGCTCTCCAATTTTCGCTAGTTCGTCTTTCAGTTGCAGAGAGAAGAGGAGACGAGAAAAACTTTCACTGCGCTCAGACTCACGGCCATTGCTGCAGATGAATGATGATGGTAAGGTAAGGTAATTGCCAGTCCACCCGGGTGCGCACAGCGACAGGTCCCGAGATTTGGGGCCAGCCTGCAGACCCTCGCTCCTCGCACCCACGTCGCCCAGGCTCGCCAGGACCCAGGGACCTCAGGCCCAGGGGTGGGAAAACCCCAAGGAAACCCGACCCAAGTCCGCCACGACGGGACAGACACTAAAATGGAGATCGACAGGCATACATGGAGTATATGCACTAGGAGCTACGGTGTAAATGCAGCTCCCTCAATGTGGGAATAGCCCGCAATTGGGCTCAAAAGTCAAAGCACGCCTTCCTGGAAATGACGCTGATATGCCATTCGAGAGAGGCACACCACACATGCATCTCCACGCCGCTAGCAGCTATGGGGGGATTCTACTCTAGATATGCAGCAGGCGGACTAGCTTCAGGTACCGGTGGGGAGCAGAGCTCCTCAGAAGAGAGGTGGAGATTGGCCGAAGGCCTGTCGTCGAAGAAAGAGAAGACGATGGAACGGGGTATCGCCGAGCTAACTATCTGTCTGTCGGGTCTGACCAGCCACCCATCCACCCACCCACTCACATACGGAACGTGTCTGTCGCCGAGACTTGCTATGCAGTAGAGGCAGAAGGCACATGGAGAATGCCGTTGAAGACTGGGGCTAACGGGAACGACTACCATTATCTATGACCTGTAGCCAGATGGCGCGAGAACCGCCAATGCAGGTCTAAACAGTATCAATCAGTCTAGAGGATGGGGCTGAACATGGAAGTACCCTTCGTCCAGAGGTACATACATTGCCATTGCCATTGCCACTGCCATCCCCCGTTGATCTTCGTCTGTGATAACAGCCGGCGGCCCAGCTCTGCCTCCGGCGCTTGTTGGTTTTGTGTACTCGTAGGAGCAAGTGGGCTACGATGAGATAGCTGTCGTGCGGCCTCCACCCGCCATGGTGGTGCCTGCATCGCCGACATGTCACAGTGTAGATAGTCGGGTAGGGGTCGGAGACTTGCCAGTGTGTGTGACTCTGGGAGACGATTTGGCGAGCGGGTCGGAGGATTGACTGGCCATTGCTGGGTCGCCTGGCTTGTATGTAGTATTGCACAAGAGACTCGGCATGATCCAGAGGTCACAGGTTCCAAGTCCTAGTGGCTGCCATTGTGGTAGCCGTTCCATTGTGTCTAACGATTTGTACGAGACTTCAGAGGAAGGTAGTCACAGATAACAGATAACTGAGTTTGCCAAGTTTGAAAAAAAAAGACACATACATGCACGAGCAGATGCAAAAGATAAGGGAAGCATCAAGTTTTGGCAGCTTGGTAAAAAGTCTTTTGTTTGTTCAATTCGTTCCGAAAAAGCGTTTGATATTCTGACTGTACATGATTTTTGCGTTCGCCCGAGAAGGAGTTTTCTGGCTGTTGCATCTTTCTTTTCTGAGATAGTGGCCTGCACACACCCCATCCTATCGGATCGATCGAAGAGAGCATCTGCGATACGAGAACAGAGGAAGAAGCGAGAAAGGAAATAGTGAAGAAGAAGGATAAGAGATAAACACAAGAGGCATTCCAGTCTGTGTATGTAGTAGATGCGAGGTGGTGGAGACCTCACCGTGCCTTGCGGCCTTGGCGATGACTCTCCAACCCACCCACCACACACAACTGTATTCCTCAAATTGGGAATAGTTTTCTGGATTCCTGAGCGATGACGGCCGGACCTGCTTCCGCATGCTGTACAGATTACAACGAGCGTAAAGAACTGCAAAAGCCGCCAAAAAAGGGCAAAAAGGGGGTTTGTAAAAGGCCACTCTCCTCTCCTCCACATCATGATCTGTCTTGTGATAACAATGACTCCTAACACGCCACACCCTCCAAAAGACTTCCAATTTTGCCCTTGGCCTTTACCTCCCCCCATGCGGTTTTGAAGATGTGAAAAATCATCATGCAGTCTTGACAACGGGAACGCAACATAGGTGAATAATCTTTGGGAAAGGTTGTTGATACAGGAAGGGCAAGATGTAAATGCAGCACAGAAACAGGCTTGCAGCAACTTTTGGTATGATATGATCCTCGCGGGTGAAAAAGCTGTGTAATACCGCCGTCGTCATATAGCAGCCTGTGCCGGGAGAGATGATCCTTTTTAGACCCTAGGTGGATTGGCTTGGTCCGCATAAAACGGTAGCGGGGTGGGCCGGAGAGAAGAAGTTGTGTCATCAATGGTCGTGTCGGGCATTCAGTGTTGAGCAGAGTCGCCCACTGATAGTAGAAGAGTCTAAAAAGCAAAAAGAGAAGTAAAGAGCGAGAGGTCTTACTCAGCTCGCTTTCGCTTCTTCTTTCCGTGAGTGTCGCTGACGCCTTCCTCAGAAGACAGTTCGCTTGCACTCCCCGGAATCTCTGCGGCGACCTGGAAAAGGACCTTGCCAAATGTGTGGTACTCCTCACCACTAGCGGCAGCCGCTGCATGTGCATACATGTTAGGATGGCCATAGCTAGCAGCGGCGACAGCATCGACATCATCAATGAGGTTCATGACAATAGCGCCGGAGCCGTGGGTTCGGGCGTGCTGAGAGAGGTTGTCAGAGCGGGAAAACTTCTTGCCGCACTCCTGGCACTCAAAGGGCTTGTCCTGAGTGTGGAGGGAGCGGTAGTGCCTCTTCAGGTGCTCTTGTCGGCGGAAGCGACGGTTGCAGAGCTCGCAGACGAAGGTCTTTGACGGATCCTCAGTCAGTGACTGCTTGCGGCCACGGCGGTTGGCAGGTGCTGGGACGGGGTTCGAGTCGCCATTCTCAGCGCCCGATGAGCCATCGTCCGAGTTGTTGTCAGCATTACCATTGTCCTGGTTGCTTGGGGTCTGCTGCTCCGAGCTGCCAGAGTTGTCTGCGGCGACATTCATCTTGGGAGCAGCTGTGGCTGTGGTCTCCTGAGTCTTCTTGGCTCGCTTGTCGCGGTGGCAGTCACTCTCAGATGCGGAATCAGGAGGACTGGGCATGCAGCAACGATCGAAGGACTCGCTAGCGTCGAAATCCTCAAAGTCCTCGTCGCAAACGAAGCTCTCGTGGCCGAGGGAGATGGCGTCCGAGCTGGCGCGCGACCTAGAGGGCTGAGCGGCAGGAGACGAGGCACCTAGGTTGACAAGGCCGTTGACGAAGTCGTCGTCGGACTCGAGGTCAGAGAAATCGTCAAAGGACGGCAGGCTGTGCGGGTTGAAGTCAAAAGATGACGTGGTGGAGCTGTGCTGCTGGGAGTTGGCAGGGGCGGCCTGGGTCTTGAAGGCGTCACCCCTGAAGACAAACTTGTGCTCCTCGTCGTCACCAGGGCACAGGGTGGGGAGGGCAGCGTACTCGGGAGCCTGAGCGGGTGCGAGGGTCGAGTTGACAGTGCCGACGGTGAGGTTGCGCGGGTCGCAGAAGTCAACGTCGTGCTCCGAGGCGACAGAGCGTGCGTAGGGGGAGGGAGAGGGTGAGAGTGAAGGGCAGGAGGCTGTGGAAAGGAGCTCGCTAGCGTTGCTGGTGTTAAGCGAGACGAGCTTGCCTGGTTGTGCGGCAGCCTGAGACTGGAGGTACACTGCAGAGTCGGAAAGCTTTGGGTTAGCCCAGCCCCCTCAAAAAGGAAAAAAAAGCAACTGTATTTCTAGAACCTCCAACGCTGCACCGCCCCGCAAAAACTCTAGGCCCGGTGAAACGGCCAGCAAGTAAAGTCAATCCAGCTGAGACTGGACTCAAGTCGATGCAATTAAATCCCACCATCAAACATTGTCGAAAAGCAAGACAACACTGCTCATGTGATGGCTGCGGCTTTGTGATGGATACACATACACACAAGAACAGACCCCATTGCCATGGCAGGAGTGAAAATCACAGCAGTTGTGCGAGAGGCAGGCATAAGTAAATAAATAATGACTCACCAGGCGTCATGGGGGGTGATGCACAGCTGGACCAGTCCAACACAGGGAACTGCTCGGGTTGCTGCGACTGGAGTTCCTTCTTGATAGCGCCTTGGAAGCCATCCAGTCCCGAGAACATGGGGTTCATGGGAGTCGCCAGAACGTCGTAGCTGCCAGGGCTGCTGATGGCACTGCCAGACGAAGACAGCGGTGGCGTGGACGGGTAGTGCATGCCATCGGCGTCGCAAATCTCCGTCTCCAGCATGATCGTGGGTCTGTGGTGCGGCTGAGGCTGGGGAGAAGCGCGAGGCGTCAGCTGCGAGGGCACACTGGTCATTGCCTTGGGCTGGTACATGGGCGGCTGCGAGCAAGACGAGCTCGGTCTAGAGTAGATGGGCGTTGAAGGAAGCACCGGCACGACTGGGAACACTTGCATCTGCTGGTGCAGGTGAGGCGTGAAGTGGCCGTGTTGTCGGTTCTCTGGGTTGGGATCTGGGCTGTAGTAAAAAAAGGCCGGAGCCATAGTCTGGGATGCCATCATGGGTTCCATCTTGCTGTGTAAGTCGAGACTAGTCAGCCGGCTTGCTCCTTGCCGATACTGGCAACGTCTTCCAGGGAATTGGCACCAACCAGACTTGAAGTGTGATCTTTGAATTCGGATTTGGTTGATTGCTGTTGATTTATAAATTACGTATATTGTCGAGTGGTACTATACAAGTTCCTGTGTGTGAGAAAGTCGAGGCGGGTTGGCCTAAAGATGGTGTGTTCGGTTCGTTCTTGTTGTAAGGAATGGACAGAGCAGTCTTGATCAATAGATGCAAAGACTGTCTAGTAGCTGTGGGATGCTCGAGGAATAGTGTTGTACATGGGACTCGTCTGAAGATGCGTTCTTTTCTTCTGGTCTACCGTGGAAGATGTTGCATATGGAGCGTGGACGACGACAAGATAGAAGAGGGTCGGGGTCTCTGTCAGACAGTGTTATACTAAAGAAGGGAAGGAATGGACTCCAAAGCTCGAGGCCGCCAAAAAGAAAGAAGAACCGATATGTAAATGAAGAAGAATCAACAGTCCAAGTCGACCGATCTGCCGATCATGAGGTGAGAGGAGAACGAGCGTGGTGGAAGGGGACCCTGAGAGGATAAGTAGAAAAGCGTAGGGTTCTCTCTCTGTCCCCAAGAGATCAGCGCCATAGAGATAAAAGTCGTGGATGGCGTGGTGGCCGATAGGCACTGAGGTGTGGGCACCACCACCACCACCATGGGCCATAGGCCATGGGCCATGGACCAACCCACCATGCTTGTCTCACTTGAGCTGACAAGGGCTCGATGTACCAGGAAGAGTGGCCGTCGAGACGGCGTCGAACGCCCAACCCCTGTCTGCATCCATGTCTGGGGCAAGACGGAAACATCAGACGGGTGTGGTGGGCTGGGTGGGAGGATGGCGCAGCACTAGCCCGATTCTAATTCTGGAGACCAGCAGAAGCAGCACCAAGCACCAGAGACGCCGGAGGTACCGCAGAGCGATGGGTACATCTGCGTCCACTTGAGCCCAGCATCATCGTCCATGCCGGTGGAGCAACACGCCAGCACCAAGCAGGAGGAGTACAGGAACTAGTCAACTAACACATGCACCCATACGACACCTTGCAAAGTCCCAGTCCCAGTCCCTGGAAGGGCCTCCACCCGGGACACCTCCATCAAAGGTACCAGAGCAGCCAGTGAGCCAGCCTGCCGACAGATCAGGACGGACAGATCGCAGAAGAGGGCCATCCTGAGTGCTCCGTACTGTCATTAGTTGCCTCTTTGCTGCAGCCTGCAGAACGTTTGGACCTGGCTGGGGTGGACGGCCCTTTGGGGACAGGTGAGCCATGCGTGATGCACACTTCAGCTAGTTATTTTTTTCTTCTCATAAAATACCAAAAATGTGGTAGGGCCGGATGCATATCTCTTGCTCTTCTGGTCATAGACTGGCCAGCAGCTCTGTGTTGTGGAGTTGCGTTATCGTATTGCATGTGGTCATTGTGCAGAGTGAGGTGACAACGAGAACGAGTTGCCAACTTTGATACGAGGGACTTCGTGGAGCTCTCTTCCTTGTACGTACATGTCGTTCGTAATCTTGGATGAAAGCTACACAATACGGTACACTCGCTCGCCTGCCCACCCACCCGCCACTGTTCTTTCTGTTCCCTAGAGCCCATGGTCGACTTGTGAAATGTGCAAGCGCACACACATACACACACACACACACACACACGCACATAGTTCTTTTTATCTTGTCGGTCGGTGTCTAGGCAGAAACGGCTGTAGAGATGGTGGTGCATGCATAAAGCCGAGCGTATCGAGGGCGGTTGATGTGATAGGGCAGGACTCAGAAGAACCGCCGACCACACAATTTGCACAAAGCACCTTTCGCCATAGCACTTGACTATGAAGCGCTGTGCCGGCCTGCAACCTGGCACAACCATTCGCTGCTGTTCTCTGGTCACACCCACCAGGGCCTCCCGTCACCAACCAGTAGATTGTAGCACGCTCACCCTCGCCGGTAATGCAGGTACGAAACGCCGCCACCGATTGACCTTTCACAGGCGTTGCGCCGGTCGTGCTGATCAGTGATGGCACCCAACGCTCGATTTTTGCCCACACATGCATTAGATGTTTGCTCACCAGAGCTAGCACACAAGACCGCCGAGGTATATTCAGGATGATCATGCACGCGCAGGTGGCGCCAGAAGGCATCGATCTTCAGGCACTTGCCGCGACAGACCCGAGACGGCAAGCCTCATAGGCCCCATTCTCTTTTCCAATCGACACACTGTAGCGTAGCAGTGGGACGTGATGTTTGAAACATATCAATGGCGGTAGGAAAAACTCCCATAGCATTGAACATGATGACGGGGATCGCCCCCAGCAGCCTATCATGCCATAATCGAAGTCAACCAGGGAGGGAGAGCCACAGTTACCCAGGTATAGAATAATCCGGATACCTTCTAAGAATAATTCGAAGCAACTGCACTGTAAATTGCCCTGTGTTGGCTGCAGAGACAGGATAATTTTTGTTCACACATAGATTGTGTTCCAAATTGTGAACGTAACCCTGGCCCAATATTTTGCGTGCCACAACCTCTACACGACCCCCGAAAAAGGAAGACAGGTTGCAGAAATAGAAAAGAAACACTCCCTCAAAGGAGCACATTCAACCGCTTCGTCCATGCAGCAGTAGGAATGCAATTGGACATTCAAAGGACTAAGAATACGCCTTTCTTACCGTCCCCTGCGGTATGCGGGGATTGAGCAAAGCATGGATCGACTTGTTATCACTGGGTCATATCTGGCTTCGCAAGCACGATTACAGCGCCAGGTGTCTTAGGCACCGCCGGAGGTTGATGCCAAAGGGCAGGATTCGTAACCACGCCGTAGATACGGCGCAGCACAGTGGCCTTATCAACGACAGTTTGGATCCGCGTCTCGCCCGTAGTATGGCAAACTGTGTCGTTTGGCGGATTCTCTCCGGTGGCTGCACCAAGAGGTGCTGGGCTGCGCTGGCTGAGGCCTCTTTCCCGCGCTGCTAGTCGACACTTGTGCAGAAACAACGAAACACAAAAGGACAGTAGTCGAGCGACTGTGACGAGATGCGGCCATTCAGAGGCCAAGCACGACGTCTGGACACTGCGGGGGCAAGATCTAACGGACGAGTCGGGACGGCCAGTGACCCGAGAAGAGCCCCTCTAAGATGCAAGCACTTAAACCACACCGCGCCGTCGCACCAGTAGGAAGACGCCGTCGTCGCTGGTGCGTGACGGGGTTCCCTCAGGCGTCGCGCTTTGGCCATCCAGGCACTCATCGGCATCGCATACGCGCCGCTCGCTCGTAGTACACAGCCTTGGTGACGAGCTGCTCTTGACGCCGTTCCCTTTGGCAAAAGCGATACGCGTTACCTCTGCTTGCAGCTCGTTCGATCAAAGTTGAGTCAGTTGATGCCATGATTGTCAGCCCTAGGAAGTCAGCAAGAGCGGAGTGTTTCAGATCGCCCTTTGCTGGGTGAGTCTAGCTCCGCCTAGAGAGTCTCGCGGATCGTCTCTCGCATCCACCCACGGCAATTCATGGATTCCCTTGCGTGTCGAGTCTCTCCGCAGAAGCTAGTAGTGAGACCTCTTGCCACTCGGAAGAGGCGCCTAAGGAGCTCAGAAGAAAGCAGCAGCAGCGATGACGCCTTTACACGCTCGGGAAGTTGTAATCTGATCGGTCATACACAGTGAGTCGCGATATAACAGAAAGAATGTGAAGCATGTGGAGAATTCTATAGAGTCCACTCAGCATGGCGACAAAATACTGAGGCCCGAACCAACTTGCTCAGACGCCAGGTTGGTGTGGTAAAAACTTTTCGCTGTAAACAATGCTTTTTGCCGGAGATCGCACCTTCTCTTTTCACCACTGCTCCGTTGCCAAAGGCATGAACGATATATGCACGCCAGTAGCTTCTTTACGTGATATCACAAATTGTGAGTCTATCTACCCAGGCAGGTACACAATTTGGCTATGTCGTCACGAAATTCATCACGCGAGTTGGACGAAACATGCTCAATCGACATCTCCGCTATAAACCCTCAGCTACACCCAGCTACATCGGTGAGAACCGTCATCGATGATGGTTCTCATCAGAATATTGAGCCTGTCTGTCCTTTCACGACTGATCAGCAATTCCTCGGAATCTCAATCTAAGGGATTGAAAGTGTGCAACGACAGTCGAAACAACCCTGGGTTCTTTAGTTGCTCATTGGAAAATGGTATGACGCCACTCGGTCACTCCAAAGACTGTACTATGGATTTCTACAAGTGTAGTGGTCGCTCTGAGAAGTCAGCATGTGATCTGTCACCGAATCAAGATCCTACAGTGTTCTTAGATGCTGAAAGTCTTTTCGACCATCTCTCAGCCCCGCAAAAGCCTCGCAGACTGCATCTTATTGTTACCCAACCACATTTCTTATACGCCATTTCCGCTTCTACCGACCGTTTCATCACCCAAAGTGCAGTCACATATCACTGAAAGGTACTAGACACCATATTGGCCGGCTGTTGATCAATATCGTGCACTCCTCTGATCAGGATTTCCGGCTCGATACACGTCATTGGGTAATATAAGAGATGGCTGCAAAACTCAAGATCCCGCTCTTCCACGAGAGTGCTTAAGTTCTGCAGTTCAGACAATCAACTCGACGCACAACCGTCAAACTACGAGTTGGCCCATCACTTTCACCTCCAGGCTGATGGTACAGGGCTCCGAACTTCCTACAGGTCACAGGTCAATGAGGAAAGAAATCGCACTACATTAGCAAGTCCCCTTATTTGACATGCACCTAGTCAACCTGAGACGGATGGATTTGCATAAGAGGGTATGATTGCATTAAAGATATTGGAGCCACTCTTGACTTTTCCCGAAACGGGCTAAAGTGAGGTCGATGTGCTGCGCCATTATCGACCATGTAATTTTATTCAAGCGCACTACTTGTTCATTGGCCTGTATGGAAGTGGACGGACGACGCTCGGTTTCCTC